TTACCGGAATGAAATACCCATCTACAATAAGTAAGGGCATATAATCTTTCCGTGAAAGAATACCCACCTGCCACAGCATTCGACGACTTCTCTTTAGCAGGGAACGGCGGTATATCGACAGAACTCTAGAATAGAAACTCATTAGCAGGAACACTAATGGACTCCCTCCCCTCCCGTTGTAAGCAGATACTTCTACGGCGATCAAGTATTAAGAGAAAGACTAAATCTTACAGCTGAACTTGTCGATGCTTCCAGAAAGTAGGACATTTTCGACGATATCGAAGCTATGCGATCTGCCCTGGAATCACTGGCACACTTCGCCACAGAGACTGTAGGTGAGACCATTTTTGGTTTCGAAGAGCCTTGACTTGTGGATAGTGTGAGGCTTTTATCGGACACATTTGGCGTCACTGACGGTCGTTTTGTAGATGCAGAAAGGGATACACCCTTCACCTGAACAACAACTTCTTGGAAAATCCGACAATGGCCATTCAGCTGACTATGAACAGCTTCACGCGAGCATATCGCTCTTAGCAAACACCAAGCTATAGAGCCTTTCTGAGTGGCTTCATGGTCTATCCTTGAAGCACATACCTACTTTAAACTTGTATAAACATACCTCCTCGACGCATTCGTTGAGATCAAAGTTATCGCTTTCATGGTCGGGCTGCATGAAACCTTCGTGAGCTCCGTTGCAGCATAGGAACTTCGGCATTTGAAAGTCCGGTGAAGGGATGACGAATCGGAATCCACCGAATTCCACTCTTTCCCGTGGCCGAACAGCGTCGTAGCGTTGTTTTGCCGTAGGCATCTAAATACGAAAATTATCTGCTTTTGTCGCTTTCAGCGCAATCGTCGCTGGAACTCTTCACAGACCCCACATAGACGGCATGTCACAATATTCCAGGTGGTGGTGTAGTGGCAAGGGTCGCACATAGTCCGTGGATCGAGTTTTGGAGCAAGACCATCCCAAGCTAATCAGTCTCCGGGATCGCTCAATTTATACCGGGCAACCACTAATGTGGATGGATTCAATATAATCACTAATCCGTATGGATTACCGACTTTTACGAGTGCGAAGCTATTGTATATGGCAAATATGCATTCAAAAAACCACCATGACAAATTGAAGTCAAATGCAGGGCGCATCCCGAAAGGGACTGATAAAAGATGAGCCACATGGACTTGACTTGACACAAAGAGACCAAATATCAAAGTAGCACACCGGGTATCACCAGGAGTCCTTCTCTATTCCTGTTACCTCTGGATACCATGATATTGATATAGGATTTGGATTTGTCACAAGAACCACCCTATCCCCTGATATCGCCCGACAACGCATGGTATTGAAGAATTGTAGGAGAAGCCACAAATCAGTGGGATTGCGGACATGTAATGGGCTCCGGCTGAGCCTAAAGGAAACTTAGTTTACGAGCTTTGGACAATCCATAGATCCAGTCTCGGACTGCAACGAAAAGCATCCAGAGGGTATGCACCTGGAAAGGGTCGTGGCGAAGGGAAGGAGGTCAGTAATAGACGATAAGTGATAGCAACGGGTGATCTCTTCCCTCTCTGGTATAAGACCAGGGCAGAATGCGCTGGGTAAGGGTAAGAAGCAGTGTATGGAACAGCAAGAACAGCATAGTGGAACTGTGGTGAGAAAGAATAGAAAGAATAATGCCGAATATTACCACCCTTCTGAATCAAGGATGCCAAGGGGCCAAAGCTTTTATAATCACCGACTCCAGCCATTGTTTTGGAAGCATGCCAAAGCAAGACAAAATCAAGATTGAATAGATGTGTTGTGAAGGTACTGGTACTTTTGGTTGACCCAGAGTTGTCGAGAACACGAAAAACTACTGTATGTTATGGCAATGTCCTAAGAAATGATTTCTTTATGTAGACTTCTTAATTGACAACTCATAGAGCCTCCATAGACTGAAACTATGAAACTCGAACTAGAAGAGTTCGAAAAAGACACTTCTCGAAGAATTCAGTCTCACCACGAACTCTATAAACTGTCTTCAGTTAATTTTTGCAGCGATTGAAAACCAAATACCGTATTTCACGTACTTACGTATTCTAAACAGTCTTAACGTAAATTTTGCAAAAATTTTTATCACACATGTAAAACACATTTTCTATTAATGGATGTCTATACAAAGAGATATATAGTAATTAGTAAGCGTACAGATAGGCAATTTTACAGGAGAACGTTCAGTTATTGACCATATAGACAGGATGGCAGACAGATTATCATTGGATAATATCACATCAATTCGTTCGAGATAAAAAAGGAAATACTGACAAAAAAAGAGAAGTCGATAAAACATGGTCCATTTACTCCTAGCTTTAAAACAGTACCGGAAGGAGGATGAGCTATGAAGAAGTAAATCATGTGGGAGAATTCTACAGATATTATTAGTTCTCATTCCACATGCTAAACAAATTGGTGATGAGTGCGCAGACGAGGAGATTTGGCTCTGATTCTCCGTCATGAAGAAAAATAAGCAGAAGAACAGGAAAAGGTAGAGTAGTACGACAATTTTACAGATCAATAACCTGGAGATTATCATTGGAGATGCTCTGTAGATCAAATATTGAGGATGTTAGAGCTACGGTACGACATCGATAGCTCTGCTAAGCTTCACGTGAAGATTGAGCGTTACAGCTGATTCAGCAAGCAAAATCTGTGACTACTTTGGCATTCCATTTGGTCGATCCCACATTAGCACATGCCGTGCAGTCTGATTGATCACTTCCAGCCAACTCTCCAAGTGAGCGCTGGTGTCAGCCGCCAACATCACCCTGGGAAAGTCCACACTTATTAGAAGATACAGCCGATCACTAGCTTCATTATTTATTATTTTATCATTTCTATTTCATCCATATTGAAGTATAGATACTAAAAAAATTATAGGTTCGTCATCTGACATGACGCAGACTTCAACCTCTCTCCAAAACTCACCGAAGCTTCTCCAACTCCGGCCTGCCAGAGGAACTGTTTCGTCGTGATCCTTCTTTCGGGACCCAGACATCAATGTGGAACGAATTCGGATATGGACAGACGTCTCGTACTGTGGATGCGCCATCTCCTGCACACGTCTGTAGATCCAACAGAACTACCCATTGCTGGAAAATATATGGTAAGAGCTAGACAGAATCTAATCTAATAAATGTATAATCCTAATTGGGCTAAGGTGGTTTTTCGAGTGTAGCAAAAATTCTGGGCCGGAATATACCTTTCCATCTCGCTCCTCATCAGGACTTCGCCAGAATCGCATTTCTCCGCCTTCCAGAACGCACCAATATCTAAATAATTATTTCGAAGCTTTTCCCAAAAACCCATGTCGTATATCATGCTGAATTTAGAGAAAGTCCACTCAAACACTTTCAAATGCTGACAAAATTCCAAAAGACGTAAGGTTACTTCGATAAGAGGTATCCACTCAAACACTTTCAAATGCTGACAAAATTCCAAAAGACGTAAGGTTACTTCGATAAGAGGTACACCCGTTAAGACGAAGAAAGAAATCATTACCGAGTCCATGTTCCCAGACCATCCTTTGTGCGTTGATACATAGATAGGAATCCGCGATTGATTGTATTGCTCTTTTCCGTAGCATGTCTAAAATTGATAAACTAGTTCCCCTCCGAGTTTCAGTGCTACCGATGGATAGGGAGTAACAGGAGGAATGAATAAGCCTTAAAAAAAGGATTTCAAATTACACACTTCTTCATCTTGACAATAACGTGCCCCTCCAAAGGTGTCATAACGTCTTGCAGCGCTAGCTTACGTCCATTTGTATTAATGTCGATGGTCAGCCTGCCGACCAATTGGAACGCAGGCTCAGCAAGAGCAGATGGCCCGCCTAGTGACGTCTTCAAGGTAGACGGGATCTTTGAGCGTTGCTTAAGTACCGAAATTATTAATGAAGACATGTGATACTGAAGTTAAAAGGGATCATTACAGATGAGAAAAACTGATAGGTATAGTAAATACTTTTCATGCAAGTTATTTTGAATATTGCTTTGCCGTTAGTATGGCCCCTAAATGGCTCAGCAGAAGCTGTAAATCAATTAAAAAAAGAAAAGAAAAAGCAGCGCAGCAGAATGCAAAGGTAGCGACGCAACATGCACGACACATTGCATTCTAACCGCGATGCAAACGCAGAGGGGACTGCATAATGGTCACCGATACCTGAAGGGAGGACAGTGGGATTCCTGGAATATCTTCCCTTCACATATCAGTGCCCAAATGGACATTCAGGAAACAATGAAAGGCTCTAAGATCTACTATAACATGAATGAAATACACCAAAAACAAGCTTACAGAGCCTTTGAGCATTTCGAGAATCTGCAAAAGTAACCGATTCATACTGTGTCTATAGGAAAATCAGTAATTTCAGTGAATCCCTAGAATATGTGTGTGAAAGCAGTTGAAACACTCACCTTCTTGCTTAATGTTCCAGTGAGGCGATATTTGACCTCATGAGAGATATGTTCTCTTTTCGTCCGCTGAAATCAAGGTACTATTGTTAGCAGTGGCCACTTGTAAAGTTTGAGCAACAAACAAATGCAGAACGAAAAATCAGAAGAGAAGCATTCAAGGAATAAAGGTGATGGAATGAAGATAAAAAATACTTACAAGACCGAAGACTTCGAGGGCACACACAAAGTTTGGAGGCAAATCCTTGAGCGATAGATAATAATTGAATTCGAGCACGCCCTATAATTATAAATGCCCAATGACTGTTTCTAACCAAAAAAAATGAATACAGACAACTGTAATCCTGCGGTAGTCTAAAGCATTCCGAAAGGTACATCGAGGACCGAATAGTACCGAATAAAGTGGGTTCTGACCTTTTTTCTTAAACCTTCATCACTTGTCACCAACGAGGTATGTTGGACCTCGCAACCATGCCGAAGAAGAAAATAACTAGCCACGATTAGAGGTGTAGTTAAACTGTGAGTTGACGAATTCTTGACTAAGAAGAACATTGATGCTGGTTATCGTCAGCGTTCCACGTGGGCCAGGGGCTCTGTAAACAATAAATAATCATAAACAATCACAATCATAAACATTTCCGATCCAACATAAAAAGCTGTAACACGGAAACTACAAACCCCTTCGGCAGTCCTCGATTTAGCCGATCAATCTCGAAAAGCAGAGCACGTCTTGTTTCAGTTGCAATCAAAAGGGCTCGCTGAGCATCAACCTTTACAAACAACACTTGAAAAGGACTGAATAGAAGGGTAGAGAAGCATTACTTAGCATCACTTTTCAAAATCTGGGAAGAAAGCCTAACCAACGGAAATTGAGTTTAAATACTTACCTCTTCGCGGCTTCCCCTGAACTCCGTCTGCTCTTTACAGTAACGCAGAGCATGCGTAGCTTGTGCTATTCTCTGCTGCTGTATACTCACTTCACGTTCCATCGCAGCCTATTTTAGAGAATTATAAAGAATGGAATTAACGCAGCCTTTCGAAACCAGTGAAGAATTTGGCGCCACCTTTCTCTCCTGTCTGGTTTCGGCATCCTCTTCTTGATCTTCATGCGCAGTGCTTCCAATAATTGTCTGGATAGGTGCAGTTGCAACGTCCGTCGTCAAATCTATTTTCTCCACACCAGTATCTGCGGAACGCATTTCGCGAATACGTTTGCGATAAAACGATACCGTATACGGAAGTGATGAACCTGAGTTTTGAAACCGATTTTTCGAGTGCTGAGTGAAGTAGATAGGTTTGTTTAGTAACTAACCATCGCGCTTAGCGGAATCCGTCTCTTCATAAGATTTTGTGACCGCACGCTCCTCATAAGGGGACTTGTACACCGCAGGCTCCTCATAAGGGGACTTATACACCTCAGGCGGTACCGGCAACGAAATTGGCTGTTGCTTGATAGGTGAAAAGCATTCCTAAATCATAGCTGCTCACTCTTGTTCATTGAAAACATCATAAAGAACCAGATGAAAGTTCCTCCTCCAATACAAAGAATCGGCAAGAATCTACTTAATTGAGCATCAACAGTATGAAAGCGCAAACTATGGGTGGAAGTGAACTTGAGGAACAATATCTTGAGGCAATGCCCTCAACAAAGATTCCTCCAAGGCATACCTCTTCAGCATGAGGAGCGACGCCGTCGCGATCAGGCTTCATGGGAGTCGCATCGCCAGCACTCTTGTTCGGCGTTTTGTCCATGAACTCGAACGCCTGATCGATTAAATTTGATACGTTATGACTAACGTTCAATTCATCCATTGATTCCTAAACTTTTTAAGCAATAATTTATGGAGACGGACTTATACCGCCTTTAAGAAGCTGTGCAGGGAATTCATTTCTGTTATTTCTTGAAACCATGGGAAATTCTGAAAAACAAATTCTTGCTTCACTGTACTGGAGCGCCCAATTTCTTACAGTTTAAATGCTTCCATAGCTCCACCGTTCTCAGATGAAATGTAAGAAGCTTTTTAGCGTGAATGGATGCGGCCATGCTCAACTAGTTCGCTCTCTGCACCACAAGAGATTTCTAACAAAAACTGTAGACAAGAAAAACCCAGAATTCTACCAAAAGAGCAGCTGAATTCGATGATGCCCTCCAAATACTTCCACTACTGGTTCACCAAACCCGCGAAGATTAACTCTTTTC